TCTCCTCTCTCCTCTCCTCTCCTCTCTCTTCTCTCTTCTCTTCTCTCTTCTCTTCTCTTTTCTCTTCACTTCACTTCACTTCACTTCTCTTCTTTTCTTTTCTTTTCTTTTCTTTTCTTTTCTTTTCTTTTCTTTTCTTTTCTTAATTTTTCGGTTTCATAGTTGAACCGAAATATTACTTTAAGAATGTTATAGAAGAGTAAAACTTTATTAAAGAAGTTTTCATTGACAAATTTGAAGCCGTTTATGGAAAAAATTCATGTAAGTGTTACTGTAAATCGAAATTTGAAGCTCTTTTTCACAGAAATCTTTTGAATTTTTGACAAACAAGTGGACATCATTTCAATCACTTACACACTACAATGCAATATACTATTAGCTGGAAATGTGCATATTAAAGATGTGAGAGATATTTAAAAAAATCAAATTATTGTAATTAAAAAAAACAATAAAGGAAAATGAATTCTATATCATCTTAAACAGTGCAGTTCGCAGTATTCGTACGAAAAGTTTTGAAGAAAAAAATTGGAGCTGTTTTGAGAAAATGGCGTTTGGGCGTTCCTGAAAATGCCGAATTTTGAGCTCATTTTCACAGAAAAGTTTTGAGTTCTCAAGAACCTTTATAAGACGTCATTTTCACGAACTCCGAAATGCAATAATGTGAAGAAATCGCCCTACGAGTATTACCGACTTGAGGCTAATCATAAAAATAATTTTTTTGCAATTTTTAAAAAAATTTGGACCTATGCCATCTTTATTAGTGTATTTTACTGTAATTTTACAAGAAATTTCAAGAAAAAAATTGAAGTTGTTTTTGAGGAGATTTTGATAATGCCCCAAGGGTTTCGTGTCAAGTACCCCCCACATTAATGAGTGTTGTTCAAAATCGCCGATCCTCGATTGAGCCCAGATCAACAGTGGTTTATTCAGTTTGGAAACAAACGTACCCATAGTTGATGCGCTAGATTTGCTCACAGGCAAACAGACCGAAGTTTTGCCATTAATCGATTTTTGGTATCAGGGACCTACAAAACGTGGATTCTGGCTACACCACGTGTTAAAGGATTTTTTTTTTTTACTTTCTACGACCGCCTACGCAGTACAGAGAAAGTTATGTAATGCTGCGCGAAAAAAAATTGCCAATTTTCTGCGGAAAAACGTTTATTACAAGGCCCTTGTAACTAAAAAGTGGATATATCCAGTTGCTAAATTTAGAAAACAAAATCCTCTAACAGAATCCGTGTTTTGTGGGTCCTTGATACCGAAAAATCGATTGACGGCTACTGCATAAGCGGTAGCAAGAGTAAAAGAAGAATTGCGCGTTAAGCAAGCTCAACTCAAAATTAAAATTAAAACAATGAAGGAAAATGACCAAAAAGGCGTTTAATAAAGATTAGTGGTTATTTTCAAATGTGATCAAGAAATTTATAATTTATTTTGTTTGTTTTTTGTTGGGGTTTCTTCATGAAAAAGTGTTTCTTCTTGTCAGTATTATCTGTATTATTTTTCTTTGCCTGCTGATCCACTTTATTATTTTGCCTGGAATGTTTTGAATGTCGCGAGATGTACGAGTCGAAAATAAATTATTTTTTAAAACAATAGCGCGAGAGTTTATTGCTGGAGAATGAAGTTAATATGTTCGTAAGTGTTGGTAATATGCTTCCTTGGTCATATTGACAGCAAAAACTACATTTTATCGAATTTTTCCCACGTTGGTAAAGCTGAGCAAATTTAACTGCATTAATATATTTAGATCGCTCATTAAATCCGCTAAACATTGATGTATATTGTCAAAATACTAAATCCTTCTTTAAATGTAAATAATGAAAAAATATCTGGAAAGAAGTACTTACCACAGAGCGCCTTCAGCACGTTCTTGACAATTTAGCCTTCAGACTGCAAATACGCGAATCAACAAGCCTTCTTAGGGGGTTAGCGCACTTCTTACGCTCTCCCAGACAGCATGCTAGTACAATCTATGATAAACATTTTCAGCTAACAACATAGCCGATATTACCTGCACTGGCCATATTTACATCACTTACCTTACAACGAGAATTCTCGATTTATTTCAAATTATAATTATATAAGTAATGCAATAGTATTACAGTAATAGTAATAGTAATGCAGAGAACATGATAACAACTCAAGAAAAACACAGCTTTGCTTAAGGATACACGGGACATTCCTTGGACTCAGACGGTTGGACGGTTTATGGAGACGTATGTACGGTATGTAGAGAAAAAAGGAGGGGGCAAGTAAGAGTGACAGAATTGAGCAAGTGAGAAAATGAGTCTACTGTGAATAACTTTTTTTAGGGTAAAGAAACACCCCAAAGCTATTTCAGGATCTTTGATGGGCGAGTGTTGATGAACGGAAATGTTGTTTTGATCTCTCTGGGGAACAAACTTCGCTGGTAGCAACTACTGAAACCTTCAAAGGTTCATCCTGGGTCCAGTTGTCTTTCATCTACCGTAGGCTCTAGAACCCTTTTTCAGTGTCTGCGATGGTACAACATGGAAATCTCTTTAAATGTTTGGTGTGCTGTAATCCAATTCAATGAAGTTGGTCACTCCTATCATTAAAAAAAAAACGTCGTAGTGTGTTCATTTGTTGTTCAGTGCACATCAGAATTTGCCGTCTCAACAAAAAATATACAATGCATGCAGGAAATAAATGAAGGGAAGATAGATTCGTGCGTTGCGATTCACCAGACGTTGCGAATAATGAAGAAGCGTTCGGTGATAGAGGTACGTCATCAGTGGCACTTTTAAACAGTAGTCTTGTAAGTGTAAACGCCTATTATAGTAAAAATATTTAAAGAAACTCAGTTTAAAGAGAAGAAATGTAATAAAATTGGAAAGGTTTTAAAGGAGAAAGTTCTTAAGTTTTCAAATGACCCGCCGTGTGGTCCGTCGACGAGTTCGGGCGGAGAAAAACGGAAAAATTACTACTTTGACACTTCTTCCGAATAGCTGGACCATTAGTAAAATAAAAAGTTCCTGCCTCCAAATTCATAATATGCAAAGCCAAAACGAGAGCAAAGCATATTATCCTCTCCTAACCCGAAGCCAGGCAAGAATTTATCTGAAGGGACTGTCAAAAAATTAAAAGGAATATTATTGTTCAGTTGATAATAGTAGAATAATGTTCGGCAAAAATCTTATATAACTATGAGGATTTATCAACATTTTATTCATTACCAAGAAATTGTCAGATTTGTTTTAATTTTTATATATTTATATCATATTCGTAAATATTAATGAATATTTTTCTTCGTATAAATACTAATTTAACGCATTTATCGTTACATAAAAGTATTATGTGAAAACGTTAAAGATCTTCGTAAACATTTGGAACCAAAAATGCTTCAAGATTGGATGATAATTATTTTTTGAAACGTTCAAAAGAAACTTACCATTTTATTTATTTCATTGTTTCAGTTGTTCACAGAGAATACCTCTATGTTTTTGGAGGATATAATGGACTCTGGGACGAGCACTACAATGATTTACACAGATTTTCTCCAGGTACGTTCTTCGAATGTAACACAACCCATGTAATTATTTGCGACAATCGTGTAATGATCATGTTTCAATCAATCTATCAGAAGTCGACGTCACGGAAAAAGAACCAGAGACCTCGGTTTCGCAGAGGTTCTGCAAAGCTTTTTTAACACGCCTGGCGCGAAACGCGGTTTATCATGCCTGTTTTCCATGTGCGAAACCGCCAACTTTTTCACAGTGTGAGAAACATCTGTAACATTTCGCAATTGTCTTTCGTCTTGACTTCTTTGTTTATTATTTACAAACAATAATTTTTCGACGTTTACTTTTGTACAAGTAAGGTATTTCTAGTTATTTGATATTTAATTTACATTTGTTTACTTGACACATTGCGTTTCGTTCACGGCGTGTTAAAATAGTAGTTTATGCAATTAGTTTATAATGTTAACCTTTATTGTATGAGTTCATGTTTTGAAAACGAGCGATGTTGGGAGCAAGTTTTCAAATTTGTACGAATGCAATACGGTAACATTATAAACGAGTTTCATACTTTTTTGGGGGGTATAACAGCATTATAAACCTATAAGAAAATCAAACTTAATTTTGCGAAAAAGGTTTATGTCATCTCGGGTGTTAAACGTTGTGCGTGGTGGTTTGGCTGTTTCGTTTTACCGCGATTCTCTGGCTGCGATTGGCTGTATGTGTGATGATGCAATTATTCGTGCCGTAAAATGCTAATACGTCGTCATTTGTGTCGTTAAATAGATAATAAATGTTTATGAACAATTTCTTGAACAGAAAAGGACGTCGATAATTCTATACAAAAAAAAATTGTATACGCAACTCGGGCGCGAGGTGATTCCCGTACTCGTCTGTTTGTCGTCCGAGCTACGCTCGGACTCGACTTGTGCTAGAATCACCTGTTTCTCGCCCATGTTACGTGAACTACTATTTTCACTTTTCCTCACGTCCGGTAGGGAATATTATCAAGTTTATTATCTAAAACGCAGTGTTATTTACAATGTGGGATACTGTGTTTCAAACTTCAGTGACAGTTTAAATACATACCATTGACCGCTATGCTAGGAATTTTCTAGTAAACTGGCTCTTCTATCTTGCCCAAACCATCATTTTTGTTTACCACGTGTTACAAACACAATTATGTATGCTCAGTGTATGTATGTATGTATGTATGTATGTAGTATGTACTTGGCGCGACAGCTCGTGAACGGGCTCAGGTCTACCGATGACGTGCTCAGTGTACGATTCTTGATTTAATATACTTTTTTCAGTTAAATCGAGTAGCTACATGCACATTCGTGTTTTAGAAAACCATATAGATAAAATTAATTGCGTAATATTTAATGTTGCCCGTGCGAATCGACATTGACTGACGCCCCGACATCTCGCCAGACAAATTGACCAACATTGTCAGACAAACGGACCGACATCCGACATGCTTAGACACACAGAACAATAAAGGTCGTAGAGACGCTTAGACATACGGACTGACAAGAAAGCAGACAAACAGACGATGAAAGGCTTGTGGGCCATGAAAATCGTAAATATGTCATGAAAAGAAAAATGTAAGTTGAGGATTATTTGTTTTTAAGTGTGTATTTATGTTACTGAATTTTCAAAATGAAACGTCAATCTTTCGTTTCCAGAGAGAAATGAATGGGAATTGGTGCAGACTCTTGGCACTTCACCCAGTCCTCGACGCCGCCAGTCATGTTTGGTTGTCGGCGAAAAAGTATTTTTATTCGGCGGAACAAGTCCTTATCCCGGAGCTCCTCCTGAAGTGCCTGGGGATGATGAACTACAAATTGAGGGTCCTGATTCAAAACTGATGGATCATAGTGACATGCATGTTCTCGATTTCAGTAAGCATCAAATTGAATAGTCAAACAGTTTGGTGTGATTATATAATGTTCGATGTAATTATATGTGATATATAAATATAAACGGTTGTTATGTAGTACCCTGTAAAATGTTAATTTGTGTTTTACATTTTCATCGTAATTTTTTTAATAAGCCGCTAGCAAAGTGATTAACTTGATCTTTGTTCATTCTCAAATACATTATAAGTTGTGGCCACAGATTGATCTGCACCACATATTGTTTCAACATCATTGTATTGACCTGTGAAAGTACCTCCCTTGAATGGACCGATTATATAATACGCGATGGGGCACAGTGACAGGCCAATTTGAACTGCTTCTTGGCAAGTGAAGACTCCAATGCATATCATGCTCTCACATGCAGTCTCCTCAGCCAGACCAACCATCCAGCAATGTGATGTGTGAAGGGAGGGGAAGTGTATCATGCCATAACACCAGATAGAAAAAGCTCATGTCTATACAAGACTCGAATCCTCTTGTGTCATCGCAATCACTTTACACTACTGATTTAGCTACCGCAGCCATTTGGGTAGGCTTACATTTTATCTGTTTTATTCGATTCAAAATGTCTTCAAAATCTTCTTCTGTCTTTCCAGCATTAGGCAAAGTGTTTGCAGCTTCACCATCTCTTCTGTGGCCTTCCCACGTTCCATTTTCTTTGAGATCAATATTTCAAGGCCAGTCTTGGATATCTATCCTGAGACATGGTAAAGATGTTATTTCCACCCTTTGCATTTTAAACTCTTACAGTTATTGACTATGTTTGATGTCGTCAGTTCTATTCTGATGTCATTTCATACTCTGTCTTCTCAAGTGTATCCGATTACAGCTCTGAGAAATTTCGTCTTTGCTGTTTTTATATTTCATAGATCCTTTTTCTTTCCCGCCCTGCATTTGAAACCACACAATAGGGTTGGGATGGCCATCACGTTATAAAACTTGAGAGAATTTTCTTGCGTTGCTTTGCTTTTCAGGGTTCTTATAGTATATACCACATCGTAGATAATTAAAATGGAAAACTTGTTCCAGGCAGCTATTTCCTATTACAGTAGAACCCCGATAATCCAAACTAATTGGGGATGTGGTCTGTTCGGATTCAGAAGTGTTCAGATTATCCGAAAAAATGTTTTGTACATATAAAAACACATCTATAGGATTACCAGACATGCAACATAGCATGCGATATGACAAAAATGGCAACGTAGCATAGCAATCGTATTATCAAGCAGATTCAGTTTCTTACGGCAAAAGAAGATTATCGATTTTGCAAATTCTTTGAAGTGGAAATTATTGCTTCATAAACATGTGATATATACTGAAGTTACCAGTGCTTTCATTTCCACAACTTGTTTCAGTAATTAGTTGTTCAGACCTACAGTAATGATAAAATCCTTTCTTTACACTACAAATAAGCATTTTATTTATTTTTCGTCCATCCCGAATTTTATTCAGATTATCCGAAATTTCGGTTTTGCAGGGTTCGAAATTAGTGATGTTATACTGTACTGTTTTAGTGCTTGTTGGATATCTACCATAGAATGCAATTGATTTTGTGTTATTTGTTGATGTGTTCATGTTATATTATGACTTAGATTTTTTAATCTGCGGAATCACCCATCGAACTAGAACCAGTGTTCCATCGTCTTGAAGGAAAGGGAAATCCAGAAGATCCCGTCTTAGAGAAGGTTTCCTTTCCTGAAGTACGTCGTTACCAGATGCATAACTCTCTCAATATGGTTCAAAGTTTCACTACCACCGTAGGTCAACCTAAAAAAAACTTCAAATTCGGAAACCGTCACCGAAAGGTACATTGTGCACGACGCTGCCTGCCAGGTATCCTCGAAAGACGTCTGTGGAGAAGCAAACACCAAATACCCTGTCCCATCTGAAACAAAAAAGGAAAAGACAACTCTAAATGTTTCAACAAAAACACAAAGACCTGAGAAATCGAAGCCGAGAGGCCCTATCTCTAGATCCCGGTCGCCTGTATCGAAATGTAGAGGCATCCCGACACATGCGACATTCTAGCAGTAGTCAAGAAGGCTCTACCGAGGACGTGGAGCCCTACATGAACTCGTCCATCACACAAAAGGCGAGAAAAAAGAACCCCAACATCTAATCACACTATAAGAAAAATAAACTTATCACCTAAAAATTACGGCTCTTCGCTCAGGGAATCTCAATGTCTTTCATACACATTTAGGCGAGTAATAATTGATAATCTCTCAATTGCCTGCAGGAAACGCATCTTCCTGAACATTCCCTCTCTCTTCGCAGGCAAGACTGGTTCTCTTTTTCCTCTTACAGGCAAGACGATTATGACCTTCGTTCTCATGAAGGAGTCGCTTCATTAATCACTGACTTCCTGGTGTCCAAAGAAATGGACACGCTGGCCACTTTTCAGGCATCTTGCGTCTTCAAATTCTGTGAACCTTCATGCAGCTTGTTGCGTGCATTTTGCTTCTACATTCCCGCCTGATATGTCATGGTGCTTGGGATGTACGTCTAATTTCATCCAGACTTTCAAGATTCTAGAAAAATGTATGATGTGCAAATGACATCACGTTATTCCTGCAAACCTCTTATTGAATTGGGAATCTTACCGTTGCGTTCCGTATTTATTTGCGATCCTTTATTTTTGTCGGAACTGATTTAGATATGACGACGAATGTTACAACAAAAATTTAAAACAACTGATGTTGCTGTATTTACTCTTTCTTTGTTCCAAAGAATATTCGTATCCGCAAAGGGAACGTTCTTCCGTTTGGAATCCTCGAGAGCCTATCGTTTACGTATAATAGGATATGGCCGAAAATCGATCCCTGCAAAACCCCTTGTTTTATTGGCAATGAATCGGGAAGATGAGTGAATAATGTCCCCTCATACGAGTAGAGTATTTCTATTCTCCGATATCATCCTACTTGACTAACGATTTAACGTATTCTTCGGAGGTTGAAAAAAAAAACATACGGATACTTTCGTATTCATATCTTACGTCCAAATGTTTTTACCATTTAATAATTTCTGTTTCAGGTCCAAGCTTGCGCATGCTGTGCTTACAAGTTGTTATTCATTTTAAATTGGATCCCAGCTGGCTCCCAGAAGACTTAAAGTAAGTCGCAGCAATGCTTCAGCGTTTTTCTCGCCCTCATCACTAAACTTGAATTTCACGCTTCACATTTGCAACTTAGGTCCTAAACTTTTAAGAGTCTCTGCTGTGAAATGAAGCATGTGTTGCCAACATAATAAAGAAACACTGTTGAAATCGAGTACATTATTGAATGGTTCTTTACAAAAATATTAAAATCAGTTAAATAACCAACGACCACAAAATTTAAATTTGAACTATACTGTTGAAAATACAATTTTTGATATTAACAGAAATGCCGGGTACTGAAACTGAGTTTGTTGCCCCTACTGCAACTGGGCCTTCGGCTGATGCTTTTACTTAACCTGTAATAGTTACCTCTAATGTAACATATACAACATGTATCATATGTAACATGTGTCTGAGAAAATACTGCTAAGCAAAAACTCTTGATTTATGAAAGTTTCAAGAAACACGCACCGAATAATCGATTTAAAACTAGATATCCACAATTCTACTGAACAAAAAATAATAAGTACAAGTATACAAGCGGTACATGTCTTATCCACTTTGAAAACATACATACAAACTTACATTAACAATGTTATTTTTATACTAACAATATCAAATACTCTGCTAACCCTTTCTTTTGCTGCGATATCACCGCCCTCGTCGTCTTATGTGTAACTCTACACTTTCTCTGTAAGGAAAATCAGTAATCTGCTATTGTAACATCATCCCATCTCCCCTGATAAAGGTTTTCCATTTTTATGATGAAATTTCTCTCCATTATTGTCACTGAAATCTCCGAGGTGGGTTGGGCAGGGGGAATGCGGGAAGAACTTCAAGTATTCCTTTCTTTCACCAGTCATCTCTCTTCTCCGTATTGCTCGATTTCGCTACCGAAACCAAAGAAGACCTGAAAACCTTGTCTGAGGGAGTTACCGACATGCACAGGATTCAGCGAACAGTGAACGATGTACTCACCCCCAACTCAACGTTGATCCTCACACTCAACCGCCACTCTCTTCCGGAGAGGATCTCATGCGGATGTAATCTGCGTATGCGGAGTATGTGCCGAACCACTGCGCTGTTTTGTGTCAGAGGTTCAGCCATACCCAGCAACCCTGCATGAATAGCGCTGTCTGCGCCAAAGAGTACAACTCTGAAGGTAAATCCGGCCCCAAATGTGTAAACTGCACAGGGGGCAGCCTGTCAAACTCTAATAAATTATCTTTTTAAAGAAAGATACAAAAAATTCTAGTATCTGAGTGTCGTGCCCTGAAGCACGTCAGCAATTCCTTAAAAGAAATCCGATGACCCTCTCCAGGAGTTTTGCACACACTTTGGGGATGTCAAGATCCACCTCCAGTTACCAAATTAGTGCAGAAGTACAGCCAATCTCTGTACATGACTTTGCCTGTAAGGTGTCTAGAAGATATCGTCTGCGTAGACGCAGATACAGAATCAACCTTACCGTTTGAAACAAAGATAAAAATCTACAAATGTCTCAACAAACGGCGTCAACCCGGGAATCTTAAGGACGAAAGAACCAATTTCTAGATCCCGGTCGCCTGTATGAAAAAACGTGAAAGTACCCACACAAACTCGGCCCTTCCAGCAGAAGTCAAGACGCCTCTGCAGTTGAAGAGACGCATGAGCTCGACCACATTTCTACAGGTGAGGAAAAAAGAAACCAACACCTTGTCCCTGCAGAAGAAAGATTTTTAAAATCTTAAACCCTAAAAACCACAGTCCTCCTCTCGTGTAATCTCAAAGGCATCCGTACTTAGACGAATAGAAGCTTATAACCTCTCGACATAGACTTCTTGATATGTTTTCAGGAAACATCTTCCTTAGCATCCCCTCTCATCCCCGCTCGGAGATGCTACATGTGTCAGGGACTCCCTGGTGTCCAAATAAATAGAGGTACGAACCAGTCTTCAGACGTCCTGCGTGCTTATAATTTCCGTACTATCTCGATAACAATGTGCAACGTCTGTATCCCGCCTGGGCAAGCTGTGTCGCAAGATGACCTTGCAACTCTCGTTTCTCAATTGCCCCAACCTTTCCTCATTTTTGGGGACTTCACTATTGATAGTCACGTCTGGGGTGCTGCAAGGTCTTGCCAGATATGTATTCTTCTGGATAATATCGTAAACAGATTTAATTTGGTTCTAAATACTGGCCATGCCGCTCATTTCTCCCTGGCATCCAACACCTTTTGCCACACAAATCTTGCTTTCTGCAGTCCATCTTCATCTACGTTTGTAGTCCTTGAGAGCCTGCATGGATGTCCATCCATTCCAGAGGTCAATCCAACGCGCCGACTGAGCCAAATACGGTGAAGAACTGCACATATCAGACGTGTCCCAATGACATAAATTGTATGGCTGCCCACTTCATCGAAGCCGCTCTCGACGCCGCAACCATCATACCGATAACGACGGGCCAACCATGACGTCCTGGTGGAACGTGAACTGCGCCACCGCTGTTCGTGACCGGAAACGAGCGTTGCCATGTTCAATAGGTTCCCTACAATTGAAACCTTAATCGAATACAAGAGCCGGGGCCAGAATGGTCTTTCGCGAAAGCAAAACGTTTTGGAGATCCCATCATTCTCTCTCTTGTCGTACTCCTAAAGTGGTATGACGAAAGGTCCACCAAATTAGGGGAAGACATCCTCCTTCAAACGTTCCACCCGTCAAGGTGGGTCCACGAAACGGTCCACGGCCTGATGGGCGGTATGGAGGGGGGGGCTCTCAAGTAGTCCTTTCTTTTACTAGTCATCTTCATCTTTCCCATCGTTCATTCTCGTTCTTTTATAACAATGTCTCTTTTCTTCTATGCCTTCTATTCCGCAGCCTCCCCCTGAATGCAAAACGCCGCCCACACATGTATTTGCCGTGCATGGCGGCCCGTGTCGGAGGGAATGTGTGTCCTGACAGTTGGGACCGGTTTGTTTCCCAACTACTACTTCTGCTACTTTCTGCTTTGCACCGAGGGATACGTTTACATATTGGGAGAGCATTCTTTGTAGGTTTCCAAGACACTTGCTTTGGCCTCGGACGCTTCTGGGCGGGAGCTAACCCACTCCCGATCAATCGGCTCGGACTAAGTCTTGTACTGAACTCCAGTATGAGCGGGGGAATCCACGGCGGGGCAGCGCTGAGATATCTCCCCCTGTGCGATGAAGAGGCGATGTTTAATAAACCAAAGAAGACACGTTTCCTTTCGATGGCATGCACGGAAGAAGAGAAAACATTCAAAGGTATTGAGGACAGATTCGGTAAACTCCAAGCGGTGGTGCGTTATAGGAATAGTACCATTCTCTTCGAAGCACGCACCGATGAGCAAATCGAAAAAAACTCAAAAACTAAGCAGATTGCTGGCTTCCAGGTGAAAGTAACCACTCACCCTACCCGTAACATAAGTAAGGGAGTGATGACTCACGAAGACCTCGCGTCCGAAAGTGAGGAACTTGTGTCTTTCTTTAAGAGTCAGGGCGTAACGGAAGTGTTTAGGATCAAAAGGTAGGAGAATGGCAGAGAGATCCCCACTCTGATCTTGACGTTTAATCTCCTCTCTCGCAGAGAGGATTACCAAAGGGGTGAATGGGGGTGTGTGTTTTATAATCTCCATGTGCGGCAGTCTGTGCAAAACCCCCGGCGTTGCTTCGTCAGAGGTTGGGCCTTGCCCAACAGCGGTGCATGGCCGTAAGCCCTGTTTGCGCAAAGTGCGGCAAATCCATGCAAGATACGGATCTCTGTGCCTCCCCACTTCGCTGTGTTAACTGTGAAAGAGACAATGCGCCCAACTCGAACTGGTGCCCTACATATCTGAGGAAGAGGGAGATCCAAAAGATCAGACTGACGGAGAAAAATCTCTTTTCCTGATGCGACACGCCGATACCTTGTGAAGAACCCTGTAGATATCGGGCGTTCATTTTCTAGTACTCTTGCCAAATCAGCAAAAGCAACAGCGAGTTGTCAGACTTCGTTACTCACCCAGTTGATTTGTCTCCATTGGACTTCCTTGAGGAAACATCGCCTCTTCAAGGTGGAAAGGTAATAATTACCTGTAAATATAAATTGCCCCAGAAAACTACACAGACGAAGTCGGACCTAGAATCCACTTCTCAGCTCCGCATGAAGGCCGATGTCACTCGCCCTTCTGGCTCAGACAAGTATATAAATGAACGTTCCTCCAAACTCCGTCCACCTACCCTTACTCCTGAGACTCGTTCTGAGCGATCTCTTAGCCCGTCAAGCAGTGCTCGGGAGGATCTGCCTCAGAGGAAACTTCAATCGGGGTGGATAGTCGCCCCTTCGGGAAACAGGCGTAAACGGAAAAGGGGTAAGAAAAAATCCCCTTAGAAGCAAAGAAACTTAGCATCTAGAAATTAGGCTCTCCTCTCGTGGAATCTCAATGGCTTTCGCACTCGTCTAGACGAATTAAAGCTGATAATGTCTGTATAGACCCGTTATCTGCCTGTAGGAAACAGATCTTCCTAAGTATCCCCCCTTCCTCGTAGCTTTTGTTGCTACAGGAAAGATGATGATGGCGGCCTCCGGGCACTTGGCGGCGTCGTTGCATTCGTCGCGGCCTCCCTGGTGTCCAAAGAAATAGACGACGAACCACTCTTCAGAGATCTTGCGTGCGTGCATGATTCCGCTCGATATCGATTACCATTTCATCGTCTGTATCCCGTCTGGACAACTGTCGCCAGAGAAACGTGAGGATATGTTATTATCAGTTGCCCGCCCCTTTTCTTATTGTGGGGGACTTTAGTGCCCACTATCCTGCCTTGTGTGGTACTAGAACCTGCTCGAGAGGCAGTATACTTGAAAATATTATTGACAACCAGAACTTAATTCTCCTTAATACTGGCGGAAACACACATTTTTCGTTGCTGCAAACACTTTCTTGTCCGTTGATCTGGCTCTGTAGTCCATATCTCTCTACCGTCATTGAGTGTCGGAGAAAGCATATGACACCACCTGGAGGTACGGAATTCTTCACACCTTGGGGCCTTAGGGGGCGGCTCCCATCGTTTCGAGTGGATTTTCTTTCAAGATCTTTCCGCGTCCGCCTTGGTAACATGTTATCCTCAAGTTTCCAGTTAGAAAACGGTGTTCTCATGTACCATTTCTGAGTGTCACTCTGTGTACCGTTGCAGTTAATACTATCGCACCAGTAATTCGAGAGCCTGTGAAAGCTTCACTCTTCTTTGACGACTTTGCCATAGTCCGCTCCTGGAAGAGCATGGAAGATATTGTTACAGCTTGTCCTCAACAAACTTCAAGAATTGTGCGATAAAACTGGATTCAAGTTCTCCACTTCAAAATCTAGTTGCTTGCACGTCTGTAGAATAGATCACCTGTATAATCATCCTGATCCCTCTTCTACCCTGATCTAAAGTACGAGAGCCGCCGAAGGAATCACCTTGCTAGCTCTCTAGCAGAGGTTCTTAGAAATAACGAATCTTCTCTCTGCAAGATCTTTAGCATCTTACGAGAGACTGGCATTTGCAGCATTATCTGAGAAAAGAGGATTATGCCAATTATTTGGCTTTTAGTTGGAGATTTTAGAGTATTTATCTCGCTCTTTTCTGCCAAATCCTTTTTATAATTGAACACGTTCATTTTCAGCTTTACTTACCTTTTATTGTGCATTTCGAAAATAAAATTAGTTTTCTTCAATCACGTTTAGTTTTTGTGCAACGGATCCTACAATTAGTATGCATACTGTTTTTACCATTAGGACATTTTCTGTTTCAATAGTTAGGGTCAATAACTTGAGAACAGACATCACAACAATAGCTGATTATATGAAGGTAACTATTAAGTGAATTAAACACGTAATAGTTAATTGTGACCAATTAAACTCATAATAGTGTATTAAATATTTAATAGTTTCAATGCAACCTTTGTTAATAGAAAATTATAATAAAAAGACATAAATATTGTGGAAAAAAATTGGTACCCTCTTCCTTTCTGTATGTGTTCCTCACGGGTAATAAATGTGAATAATTGAAATAAATGTAGCTATTTTACCTTCCCTTTATTGTATTTTAAAGGTATTTTACCTAAGACTTTTTTTTCTTTATGTAGAAACGATTACTTAAGCACTTTTTGTTCTTATATGTGGCTCCAGGTTCATCTCTTTTTCAGACACCAACAGAAGTCAGCCATCATGTTGATGTCCCAGCGACCTTAATACCCCTCTACCTCTGAAATATAAAATAAAGTGTCTTGACATTAATTACTTTGTAATTATGTCATGCAAAATTATGAAAATGTTAATTGATCCTTTCCTTCCCTCCACATTATAGGCATACCAATGTGTAATTTCCTTTAAGATTCCCTTGTTTCATCGTCTAAGCTTTCTTAACACGTTCAACACCATAGCTGTAGAGCAAAAGTTGTATCCTGATCTCTCGGTTTCATATCAAAATAAGCATAATAACCTTAACAATGCTGTGCTCGTAATGTTTGATCTTCGCCTTTCACTTTACCGTGTATGTAGCAAAACATACTCGGGCCATTTTTACATTTTCTATTCTATGTTAATTGATGAAATTTTTTAATTTATAGCATGTACTATACTCGAGTAATTATAACTCTATAAACCTTGTATGTCTAACTTAGTATGACTATCTAAAAACCCGTTTGTATTAGTATTAACATCTTATAAAAACTGCAAATGTCAAAACACTATATTAGCTTGTAGAGAAAAACTGGAGGTGATGAAGAAATACTGATTGCAAATTTGAAATCAGCGTGATATATGCTGAAAGAAAACAAATAAAATATTAGATATCAAAAATGATGCAGATGGGTGTAATCTGTCAAAATGTATCATTGTTGTGTTGACCTTCAAATACAGTTGGCTTGAAATTATAATCTTTCTGAATAAAATTTAAAATGTAATCTTAAACCCGCACTTCGGAATACATTTCTTAATTATTAGTTTTTTAAAACACTTAATATAAATATTCATTTTAACGATTTGTAAAATATTGTTTAAATCAGATCTTTTATTTTAAATAATTTGGTTTAAAACCAGATTGCCTAGGAAAAATCGATCAGATTGACTAAGAAATCATGAATTATTATTGAAAAACTTTTCTTACAAATATAAATGAAAATTAACAAATTGCTCATAGAATTGAACATACATTATAGTTACTGCCTCAGCTCACCAGAACAGTTAAAATAATTAATTAGAACTGGAGGAAGAAATGAATGTTGGTAATTTTGTTGTTCTATGAAGGAAGGTAAGTATAGGTGGTTGAAAGTAACTTGGATATGGTTGTCATGCCACATAAAATGTTTGTAATGCCATGTTGAAAAAGTGTAAAATTCAATGAGTCAAAATCTGGAGTTTTATTTACAACGGCCAAAAAAATCTTGGGCAATGTGCAACAGTTGGAAACTGCAGGAAAAACTTAAGATAAATGTTCAAACTTCATGGATACCTCTTCTCTCTCTAAGCAAAACTTCACTGTCTGTCAATTTAATTGATTTTTTGTATCCACAAAGATGTTTAGTATAGTAAATAATTTTTAAGTTTTTATGGGCTGTTTCCTGTAAACATAATTACTTAAAACATTTTTGTTCTTGCTGCTTTCACTCTCCTACATGTGACCTGTGAAAGTAAATATAAATTGTCCCAAGAAAATCTCAAAATTGTGAGAACTGGTGCAATTAGAATTTTAAGTTTTGACAGGAAATGATATCAGAATGCTTCAGGAAATGATATGCAGCATTGTTTTGCCATTTCAGACATATCACATGAGTTACAAATTATATCAGTTTTTAAATAATTTACAAATTGTACTTGGGGGGGGGGGACCAATTTTTTGTTTTATTATTTGTCTTTGAGTCACCCTCCAAAGAAGTTTGATGTGGGTTTACACAAGTTATTTTGGCAGATTTTAATAATGGTTCCCAATCATAGACAAACTGGTATTTTGCCCAAGGTTTATTCTTACTTTTTTAAATTTACGATACTTATATGTATTTGCATTTATAACTTATAATTTATTGCAGATATACCTCTGGAAAAAGTTTAGCAATAGGGACATATTTTATGGAATGAACATCAGCACTAATGAATGCATTTATTAGTGTTAATGCACGATGTGTATAGTGGTTTAGCAAAGCGTACTTGTGTCTTTAATCATTATTTTCTTTCCACAGATGGGAATTGGCCATTATGACAACCAATAACAGTATCAGCCGTTCTCTAAATTGCACAGGATGAGCAAGATAGTTGGTTCATCTATAATTCGTGGACATGTGCTATACCTGAATACCTCCACATACATTTGTGGAGCAAAATCACATTCATTTTCTGCATCTAAGTTGATATCTTTAGGTATTTCACATTGAAATCAGTAAAGTATTATGAAATTGAAGACCAATGTGTCTTCAGAAGAAATATAATTACTTCTCTTTCATGAAAATATACATACATTTGATCAGCAAGTTTGTTGGAACAAATCATGAGAACAAATGATTATGTGAACCTGATAGACAATATGTTTATTTATTAAAATAAAATATAAAATCTATACACAAGAGTTAATATCAAATTATAATGTTTTAGTTATCATGTATTTCTTCATTTATTTAATTAAGATTTTGAACAAACTGTGAACCTTTTATGGAGAATCCAATTGTGTGTCATGCAAATAATTGATGTTATTAAGAAAACTAAACCAATTTTTGAAATTTGTTTCGATATTCTTTTAAAAAAATTTCATTTTCTAACTTCATTTTCATGCGTGAAATTTAAGTCAACACTGAATTCTGAAAGCAATTACTAACCAACTCACATATGTGATAATTTTTTCTTTAAAGCATCAAATTATGTGTTGTATTTGTTCAAGTCTTTATTTATTGCATTTATTCATAATAAAATAGTTGCTTGTATGTGCACTTTTATTTGATCTAAATAGTATGTTTAGCTTATTGGAGTACATGTGAATCATATTATTTCAAGTAATCATTTATGAAGTTTGATAATGATTCTTTGTACCTAAGAGAATTCAAGGAGATTTTATTCTCAATGATTCTCTTTTTTTGACTTTCCTTTTATAACATTTTCATTTTGAATAAGATAAAATGATGTTAAGGGGGATTGAGAATGTTTCCACAAAGCTACATCATCCAACTCAATTTTTCTAAAGAAACATTTTTTTAAATAATGATGAAAGCATGAGGTTTTCAATGTTAACAAAAATAAATTTTAATGATATGGAATAGATTTATTACCTACATACATTCTATTCCTTTTATAGGAAAAATGTCAGAAAAACCACAACAGTTTTTTCTAAAATTTGATTACCCATTCATCCATCCATAATCATAATCAACCCCCCTCATATTCATCATTGTTATGTTTTAAATAATGATGAAAACATGAGGTTTTATAGTGAACAAAAATACATTTGATGGTAAGAAAAGAGAGTTATTACCTACGTATACTATTCCTTTGAAATGATACATTTACAAAAAACTAAGAGGTTTTCCAAAATTTGATCCCCCCTCCTCATTGCCATCATTAAAGACCACAGTCCCATGTAACTTACATTTTTATTTTTTATTTATTTTTCCTAACTGGGAATTGGATGAAACCTCGAGAGAAATTTGAATCATGAATCTGATATTATTTTAGTACGATTTTATTTAATTTTGCATGAAATTAAACATTTTGGGGGTTACTGCTGCATGAAATTGCACATTTTGGATAATGCTGCTTGAATATTGAACATTTTAGGGTTTCATTTTTACTGGTAGCAGTTGCAAGATTCATAGTTTATTGCATGAAATATTAATCTTATCTTATCAACTTGTTTTAATTTTCCCTTTTTAAAGGTTTTTATTTAATAAAAAAGTTTTTATGACAGATCCTAACAGTGGATTTGGGTGGTCTGTAAAACACGATTGCCAATTAATATGTATCAATTCTGCATTTTGTTGATTATGAACTGAGTGTTTACCCCTTTCATGATGCCTGTTGTCTAATTAAAGTTTTTCAGGGATTGCAGTTGGGAGTAGGGATATGCAGGGTTGCCACCAACTCAGTCCACGGCCCTTGGTTGCATCCGCTCAGCCAACGTTATGTTCGTGGTCTATCATCCCATATCATATACAGTCAGTCACACTAATATTCGATCAAATCCATCTTTCCTCTTTTTAATATAATTTAAGTGCATATGTACTTATAATGGGGTTTCGGTGGATGAGGGGTTAGTTTTCTGGCCTCTGAACCCCCAACGCACGGGTTTGATCCCGGCCGAGGTGCTCAGATTTTTGAAAGGTGGAAAATCCACAGTGGCCATGTCACACTTGTGGCATGTAAAAGAAGCCTGGCGGTATGCCTGGCACAATTAAATCCCTCTTACATCATTCACCCTAACGAGATATCACTTTCCCCCAGACAGTTTGGATATAGTAACTGAAACCTGCATTGGCGGAGAAAGTGAGGTCAAATTCCAGGCGTATTGGGGGACTGCGAGGCGCGCCTGCTCAAATAATGGTCCCCTGACCCGTGTCGGAGTTGGCTTTTAAAGAAACCTGGGTCGAAAACTCAGGGTAAGCAATGGGAAACCACCCTGAGTAATTCATCCCAAGAAAATCCGTAATGGGTCACCTAACTTTCGTATATGGAAAGAATAAGAAGATGGACTTCTTTCCATTACAGAATATATACAGAATTTAATTATAATACAATTTTCGGACATGGAACATTCAAAACCTTCATTTTTAATGATGGGGTCAACTAAAGCACAAAGTTAAAAAAATTCGTAAAAAAAAAAGACGGGTGTATTACGAAGAGAGGATTTAACTCTAATATTAGGGGAATTCTGCTAATTCCTCGTAGAAAGAGTGAACCAGCGCAGCACCATGAAAAAAAGATAAAGGCATTAATTAATATATTATTTGGACTACGTTGCTGACTAGCGATACTCTTTCCAGACTGACAGCTTAGTTAATAACATTGCCTATCTCAGGATGATAACAAGGATTATTTAATTAATCAATATATTTTAAAATGTAAATGGTTTCTCATTATGTTAATTCTTTATGCTAGAACATCATTGTCACCATGTTGCTAATGACCAATTTTTCAAGTAATTTGATAAGAACCATTTTTGATGGTCAATAAATACAAAATTAAATTGAAAGAGGAATCATAATTATAAATAAAACATGTTACCAGACACCGCCGTATGAATCAATGTATTGACATTGAAAATATTTGAAATGTAGGCGGCACTTACTTTGCCTATGTTTGATATTCGGACACAAACCATAATCTCCATAAATAAATTTCAGTTGCAAGTAACTGAAATTAAAATAGAACAAATGCATTATTTGAGATGCAATGAAAAACAAAGCCACATAGTGAAGTTCTTTACTCCACCCTAACTCGCGTCTGAGACTATGAAAATTATATTTTCGTAATACTATCCTGTAAATGTATCTGCATAAAGCAACGCAACAGAGTAATGAAAAGGCAGTCTCAACGGCCGCCGACCGTTATAGCTGTTAACATACCTAGAAATGTTATGAGTGTAACATTGCAACACTCCGCCTCGATTTTTAACTTATGGCCTCTGCAGTAATAACACTAACATTTCGTGGTATGTTCAGCATTTTATCGGTCTCACACTTACGCGAAAATTAACATTACTGCGACAGTAAACAAATAATTTATGTTGCTACGTTACTACGATATTGTGGGGTGCTGTTTACGATATACAGTGAGTGTCAAAAATGTTGGAGCACACCGGAAATTGCAGAAAATGAATAAATTCCAGGTGTAAAATAAAATACAAATTAGGACACATTGAAAATAGTGTATATTTTATAATTGGTATGAGCAAACGTAACATAACTTACTGGAAAATTTAACATGAAGTTTACAAACATTAGGTCGCGAAAAAATGCGGCCAAAAGAATTGGAACCACCATATGATCGACGGTTAAAAATTAAATAAAAATGTATTTAATTATATAAGGAGGAATAAAATTAAACAAATTAATAATTGGTGATTTTGGCATTAATAATGGCTTCTAGACGTATTGGCATTAATTTTACGAGCTATGCCGTCATAGGTAACAAGATACTGTCCCACTCCTCCTAGAGTGCGCACTTAAAGTGTTTATACAAAATAAATCTGTTGCTAACGTTTTACTCATAAATATTCAATGGGGTTACTGTCTGGAGATTGTCGTGGCATATCCATATATCGTGGTGTATTAGAAAGGACCAACATTCTTGTGTTTCAAGCCGTGTGCTTTGGATCATTGTCCTGCTAAAAAATGAAATTGTCTTTAAGGCCCATTTTTCAGCACTTGTCGTTTGTACAATGTACACAATATTGATGTACATTGCATGGTACATTGTACCATTTATAAAGTAAAGATTCCCCACACCAGGAGTACTCAGCCGAGTACAAATCCACCTCTGTATTTCACTGTGGGCTGGAGGTTCTCTTCCTCCGCGCCATAATCTCCCATCTGCGAAAAAAAATTAAATTTACTTTCATCAGTAACATTTAATTGGTTCTACATTTAATGAGAATGATTATGTTTTAGTAAATTCTAAGCGCTTTTTTTCTGTTAATGTCATTGATCCAGAATTTCCTACGCGCCACACGTCCATGGTACCCACAGTTTCTTATCGATATGCGAACTGTACTAGGAGAAATGACTATTCCAGAAGCAAGTTTTGAAACACTTAAGTTTCAGATGTACTTTAATGTCGCGAAAAATTTTCTAGTGGCACGTTTATTCAGTAACTATGGCTGTCCACTTCTGCGTTTGTTCCTCACTGTTTCCCGAAAACAGTGCCTATCCATTACATTAAACACTGTAGTGTGTGATCTTTGCACAATCTGTCCGATTTCTCTCAGAGATCTGCGCAATGCGCAAGCGAATTATAATTTTCCCTCTTATTCGCTTGCTTTCTTTTCTTTTCTTTACGTCTAGTGACATTTGATGAACAGTATCGTACACTTCTGAATCATTGACTGTTGAATACCAGAAAGGAAATTGATACAAAACAGTTACAGCTGAGATTTGACAGGCGAGTCCCGGCAAGGTGAAGGTCAATCCACAGACGGCTGCGACCGCGGTGACTTCCAGAAAAGCCGCTATAGTTTTTGAGAGTTTGCGTGTTCCAATATTTTTGGCTTATTTTTCTATGAGATATTTGATTATATATCTGGGTTTTCAGTTTCCTATGCTTCATTTTAAATGGTTTTTGTTGTAACAACTTTACTGTACTATATATTGTATTTAATTCCGTTGAAAATTTGTCATTTATGTTACTTTTTCTGCGTAAAATTTATTCATATTTTTCAGATTTTCAAGGTGTTCCATTACTTTCGACACTCACTATATCTATTTAAACAATATATAATATTGTACGTTATCTCAGTCGGGTCGCTGGTTTCATTCCTATAATGATTGGATAGAAGAGAAGGGAGGTTTAGAAATATCTATTGAATCATTTCATTAATTGGGCAAAAATAATTTATTCCTGACAACATAGCTCCAGGGAAGATTACACGTCGCAAGAGAGCGACAAAGACTGCCTACCAACTTTACGCAATGAGCTCATGGTTCTAATATCTAGGTAGAAACATCTTAACACTAACATTGGGGTTTTGTCTACAATAATTCATGCATTATAAAGTAATAAAAAACTGCCTGAGCGCGGCAACGCTGAAACTTTCTCCGGAATACCCAACGAGGGAACCCCTGACGTAATCAGGGGAGAGAGTTCATCTCCGGTTAAATACTCGTACCGGACTATCACCGCTGGTTGTCGGCGCCTCCGCAGACCGGCTGGATGGCTGTCCTCGTCTAGTGATTCACCCTCGCTCTGGCAAGGGCTGGCGGCGACGGTGGGGCGGTGGTCAGATCACCGACTCCCCATTCAGCTCTTCTCCTCCGTTGGCGGCGTGATGCGTCTCGGAGTCGTCAAAGGCGGGCGGGCTCAGAGTCAGCTCTAGGACACACGGGCGCCAGGCGGGCGTAATGCGGACTTGAATGGGCCCGAGACGGCACAATGCAGCGAACGCAGATTGACGCGTAGTCTTCGGGGGTCTTAGGTTCGGTTAAAAATCGCGCTTGGTGGCAAATTTCGAGCCTTACGAGCCGAAATTAACAATGTTCCTCACTCCACCAAGTCTTAGCTAAGGGCCACGTCTTTTCTCCTACAAGTCCCGATCAGTAATGTAATGTTTCTCTCAGTCGCGATCGGTAGCAAAGTTCTGTAATGCAATGTTTCTATAAGTCGCGATCGAGAAAAAGTCTTGTAAAGCAATCTCTTGTGTAATGTTTCTCTCTACTCAGCTCCCGGCCGAGCTCACCTCCGTTTCCCTCTCCCGAAAACGTCTCAGAACCCGTGGCTTCGTCCATTCCCTCACGGGGAGATGTCTCATAGGCCGATACTATATGCGTCGCAATTTTATGTCACCCAATCGGGACGCACTGTTCCTGGAATTTTCCAAGGCGATCTCTCTCTCCCGGGCTTGCTCTCTCTAATTCTGGAAGCATCTCTTGCAGCTGCCCAAACACGTGTTCAGGTGGCTTTGTTTTCGAAAACATAATTCTTCGGCGCCGTGATTGGCAGCAAACAATACCTCTTGGATTTCCGGAAGTGTTGTAGGGAGATTCCTTGCGGGGGCGAGTGGCGGATGGGGGCGGAGTTTGTCTCCGGGCCAACACGCGGGCGGTCATTGTTTTGCTAAGTGCGCAGGGGCTCCCCGAAGGGAGTGGGGAAGGTCTTCCCTGCGGATCGGCAGCCGACGAGGGGCGTGCGACGAGCGAGCGCC